TGCAACATGGACACTTGTAAGTGTGAGATAAGAGAAGAACAAGGTGGAATGAGTCTTATTAATGAGTGCAAGTGTAGCCTCTCAAAAGTCACAACAACCTGGCTCTTCAGAAACAGACCCAGTGTCATTTGCAAGCTGGGTTCAGAATATTCAGGGACACCTTTTTGTTCTCTACAGCTACCTGGCAGTGCCAGGGGCACAGCAGGGACTGGGACACAGCAACACAGCAATTACTGAATTAATTCAATGAAACTAATAGTCTCTACAGTTAATTAAATTACTGTATTTTGATTTTGCTGTATTTGGTCAAATTATGTCCTCCCTTATGTCTGCAAATCTGTTTTACACCTTCATTCTTCCCCCTCACTTCACATTACAGGCTCAAACAACCAAATTCCACACTGTGAGCCTGACATGAAATCAAAAAGCACCATCAAGGCCCTGTATCCCACAATTGTCAGACTCAACTTGATTCCAAGAATCCACATTCCAGCTAGAGTCTTTCACCTTTTTTTTCCCCCCACTATTTGCTTGCAGCTTTCATCCTAAAGATTCATACCCAAGCCAATGGAACTTTGCCCAAACTGAAAACCCTTTAAACAATAGCTCTCAAAAGTATGATGCAACTCAGGGTATTTCTGAAAACACTGTAGGACATTTTTATGGCAACATTAACTGTTATGTTGCTCACAGTATAAGAAAATAAGAGTTATTACATTTACTGCTATGATTCTTCTGCTTCTTTTTGGTATCCAAGATTTCCAGTGTCCTTTCTTGCAGCTGCCCAAGTTCCAAATTTGCTTTTGGTCAAAATTATCAGAGGTAAAAATCTATAAATACAACACTTTCTTTAAAATGTGTGAAAAACAAAGTCCTTTGTCCATTGTAATTAGATTTGAATTTAGTTCATTTTGTATCTCAAATATAATTGCAATACCAACTTTACATTTTTTTCTTTACACATTAGAAAGATTTCAGAATATCATGCAATATGAAATATATAATCTTACATTAAAATTTACACCCATCAGTAAGAAGACTGACAAGTTCTTCTACTGTAATTTTAGCTTTGGTTTCCTTAAAATACTTCTTTGGCTGCATGATTTATATGGACTAAATACTTCACAATAAGCATTCAACTAAGAAAATATTCCTGCTCAAGGATAAAGATGTGCATTGCCAAGTACTATATACAATAATACATTGTTCATTGTATTCTTCAAAAGTATAAAGGCCAACAAGTGCTTTAGTCATGCTGTGAATACACTCTGAACACTAAGGAATTATGTATCAGTAAATACTAATTCCACCAGCACAAAAATCCCACAGGTATAACAGTGGTGTTGAGCACAAAGAAATTACATTTATAAAAAGTTGAGATCAGTTTCTCAAAGCAAAATACAAATTACTCAAACATATACATAATCAAACAACCTTTAAGAACCTTTATTAATTAATTTAAAGCACTGGAAAAATGAGCCACATTTGGTGGGAAGGAGGATAGCCATGCAGGATACTTTTTTCACTAATTGAAAAGTTACTGAAAGTCACTGGACTTTCCTTCTTCTAACAGAAATGTTGAAATCATTCAAAGGTATTGGAAGCTTCAATTCAGAGGTTAGAAAAAAATTCTATACACAAAACCTCACACTCAATATGTCAAGGAAATAACATCACAGATGGCCTTAAGAATCAGCAGGGTTAAGACCAAAGACTACAACATTCTCCAGTGTTGCAGACAGCAACGTTCCAAAGCAGCAGTACACTGAGTAGCAAAACACCAGCCTTGCCCATTTCACTAAAAACATACACTTAAAAACTCCAGCTTTGATTGCAAAAACAATGACAATTTTAAATACAAAACCTATTCAAAGAAAACAGCTAAAGAAGAAACTGTAATTACAATTGCTCAGACAACATAACTTTATTAATTTCATTAACTTTCCATTGTCCTCAAAATCTCTGCACCTAAAAAAAAAAATCATTAATAGTAGTCAGTGTTTCAGCAGAGTGTTTCCTTAGAATTTATCTATAAGTGTCACTGTAATCATATACATGGGAAAAGTACAACAAATACTTTAAATTTAGATGTTGAAAGAACTTTTTTCCTCTTTTTTAGTATTAAAAGTCAAAAAAGTAAAGGAAAAGGCTACAGCAGGACTTAGACTGCAAGAAAATCCTGGATCTGGGCAGGTACTTGGGAGTGTGTATGGGAGAAATACCATTTATTTTATTAAAATGTTAATTCTGTATTTTTTATCAAGCATAATAATGCAAAACCAGAAACAGCATTATTACATACTGGCAAATAGGATGGAGAATCTTCATCTCTTCCTATGTTATTTAATCACGTTCAAATCCACAACCAAAAGAAAAAACTGTACTGTTTACCCAGATGTGCTCTAACACATGAAATTTTTGTAGTTTACTTTGGTCATTGCTTGGTTTAGGAAAAAAGCAAGCCCCTGAATTATTTAGGAAAACAGTCTAAATGAAATGAACAGATTTTTCTTTTGGTTTCTTCTTCTTGGATTTTGAAACAGAACTTTAACAGAGCACTGTATCAGCTCTGTTCTTATCACCTTCTTATTTTCTCATAATAAACACATACTTGTTATCAGTTTGAATTTTTTTCTTAGTGGATTCACAGCCTCATATTCTTTTCACTGAGCAGATCCAGTTGGCAACAATACAATGCCAAGTTCTTGGTTAATCATTAGCATTGTTCCTCTGTTTGCTCCTCAGAAGCTCCAACAATGAAGACAGCAGTAGAAATTTCACAAAAATCAAGAATACTAACAGCTCTTTGACAAGTTTTAGAGAAGTCTCAATCACTTGACAGCATGCTTGATCAATCTATCCTTTTTTGCATATAGCCATCACTTACTAACAAGATTTCTGTACCAGCTGAAAAGTACAGAAGGAATGGCAGCCTATTTTGTACAGATAACCAAAGGTTTGCACTAAGAGAAGCTCATATTGAGAAAGATAATGTTATTTCTACAAATCTGTAACTTTTGTAGTTTGAATGCTCTAATTCAAATCCTATGCCACATCTTCATTCTTTCCCTTTTATTTTTTGACCTGTGATCTACAATGTATATTGTTAAGTGGCTTCATATTAACAAGTGACACCCAAACATCATTTCAAATTTACCTATTTAAATTTCCAGATATTTCTCTTCCACTGTTTATTAGGAACAGTGCCTTTTGTTCAAACATGCATATAAAACAGAAGCACAATCTTGTATAAACTTGATTATGAATGAATGTTCTTGTCGGCTACAAGCTGCATGTCCATACACACGAAAGGGAGAAGTGAATCTTCACAATTAAGGGCTTCAAAGTCAGGAAACATTTACCCACACTCAGTTTAATTTCAAGCTCTGCTCAGCAAAGCAACAGCAGAGGAATGAGTTACCATTCACCTCAGAGTACATTTCATCTGCTGCACTAATACAAGCATGAAGCCTCAAACTTCAGAAGTTACCTGAGAATAATCAAGAAGATTCTGATCAACCAACAGTAAAAAATAAAAAAATTATACAATCACTACCTCTGATACAGTGATCTTTCCTGTATCTTAAAAAGCTTTGTGAATTAGAACGAATAATCAAAAAGAAATAAAAAGATTTATTCAAGATTAACAAAGACTAGTATTGTAGAAACAAAACAGATACACCCAAGGCACCAATACAGCTTTATTCAAAAAAATGCAGGGCTCACCAGTTTTCTTTGTGAAAATAATAATTGTTTGAAGAAAATAAAACTGCTTCAATACAGTGAGCAGCCACCACAAAGTCATGGTGACTGCACACCCCACAGTGAGCACCACTCACAGCAGGTAGATCACCCTTCAATCTAACTACCTTGTGTTACCCACTCCATTGCAGACACCTGGCTGGAACTCGGGCACAAACAAACTTAGGAGTCACCAAATAAAGATCAACAAGACCCAACTAACTCTAATACATGTCAGGTGTGAACTGCTTATGAATGCAATACTGTAGTCTTAACTCCAGATGTCCCTTGCAATCTAGCTGACAGAACCTACTGCTCCAGCTTCATTCCCTTCATCACACCTCAGATTAACTCCCCACACAATCCAGAGTCACAGCCTGACTTCTGTGCACCAAAAGCACAAACACAAGTAACACACACAACTAAACCCTTCTTAAAATGTTTAATCTAGAATTAGAAGCCAGGAAAAAAGCCTGCAGAGATATGGGATTGCCCCCATTCTGGCACAACTTTTGCAACATAAAAGTAGAACAGCTTCCCGGTAAACCATGGTGGCAAGGTTGTAACACCTGAGTAATATAGCTACTGAGAGAGAATGGAATTCTTCTGATCCAAACTGCTAAGTTTATAAGGATACAATATTTGTAAAATGTAGCAAACCACAACAGACTTCTCAGCCACTTGCGGCACACAAACCCATTCTATCTTAGAGAGGAAATGTGTCACAGCAAGCAGTAACAACTCTGATTTGGGTAAGTAACTGTATAAAGAGGTAATTTTTAGACTGTAAATGAGAAGTTTCATAAAAAACTTGTGTTCCGTGCCTCAATTACTGCTAATATCCAAAGACTGTAGGAATCTAGAAATTAGCAAATCATTTGAAAGGGGAGAATGGTGAAAATTAAAGGAAGTTACTAAACATGGTAATTTTACAATTGTATTTGCCAATACAGTTTGTCTAGGGTACACTTCAAAACACAAGAAAAGCTTTAAATTTGTAATTTTACCACATTGCTTAAAACAGGAGGTGAAAAGTTACCAACCTACCATGAAAGCTAAAACACACAGGCCAAAAGCTTTTCTGAAAATAAAAAACCATCCTCAGGTTTTTGAAACTACCTTTGGATTTTCTGAGTTCAGCTCTGAATTGACACTCAAAATACGAATTTACTTCTTCATTATTGGAAAAAACCAAACCCCAAACCAGCTTTATGAGGACTGAAATGCTTATTGCAAAGGCTGAAAATAGCTGTTCCTACCTCCACCTTCGTTCTGTAGAGAATGAGACGCTTTAGGCTGCCCACTTTGGCTATGTGGTTGAAAGCCTGAGGTGGTATTTTATCACATGATGAGAGATTTAATTCCTGAAGATTTGGACACATTTCAGTGATGACCTCCAAGCATGTTTCATTGAGGAAATGGCCACAAGACAACTCAAGACGTACTAGTTCAGAGCCACAGACTTTCAGGAACCTGTAAAAGAAGCCCATGTTTTAAGGGAAAAATTAACATACTTTCAGGTGAGAGTCTGAGTGCTGTCAAAATCTTAACCATGTAAACCAGGAAATAATTCCTTTCAACAAAGAAAAGACAATGGTCTTGATAATTCTGTTTTGGTTTAGGAAGTGAGAACATGCTTTGTTATTAACTCTGAGATAATGGAGCAAAGTAAAACACTGATCATGTTTGAAATGTGTTAAAACAGTTGAAGCCAATTTTGACAATGGCCTACAAGTTTACACCAATAATTTCATATTTATCTCAGAAAGATCTGCAAATATAAAAATTGGGTTAAACAAATACTTTTAAATGGATGATCTATTCAGAATTGTTTTAAGACTTCCAGGAAAAAAAAAAAATCTCATTCTTTTCATTAACAAGTCAGAATCAACACTTGCTAGCTGTTCTAGAACACAAATTCCTGAGGAATATATGGAATATATGACTTTCATTTGAATTATAAAAAATTAATATATCATATGAGAAAAGACCCAAAATGTAGAAACTTTGATGGTCTCTATACTTTGCTTTCCTGTCAGAGATCTCGTGTCAGAATCTCAAGCTCTTTTATCTCTAATCCGAGCTTTAACCAAAATGACATAAACTTAGTCCCTTTTCATTTCAAAGATAACCTTCAAACTATAAATTAACCACTAAGCTTGTAAACTTGATATTTAAGAAGATTAAAAAGCCCACACAATTGCCATGCTTATATTTTGATAGTTCCTCCAGTAGAAAAACTAGTGTCTTAAACTACAGGTTGTAATGAGTTTCCCATGTTATTTCCTAGAATAATGGACCTACTTGTGAAAGAGCATGAATTAGTTTCTCTTAATAAATATTCTGATCTGCTCTCTTACCAGTTCTACCCTACAAAAACATTCAGGCAGACAAAGCAGCTTCAGGTTCTGACACTTCCACCATGAAGTCAGTATTATTTCTTGGGTTTAACTAATGGAATAAACATGCCAGACAGACACAAGGCTCCTGCTTGCATAAAAATCTATTGCTGCAAGGAAAAAGTTATTAGCCTTCCCAAGCATTTGTTCAAGCTGAAGCTTAGTAAAGAAATTGCTGCTGGTCTCAGAAGAAGACACATTCAGGGAGGCATTCCTTAATGACACCCAAGACCAAGACTTGAAGTCCATCTTTCAAGATCCAAGTTTTCAAGCTGCCTCCTTTCCTTGTTTCTTCATTACTTACTCAAGTCATACTTGCTGTTCATTATCACCTTTCTTTATTCCTTTCACCTTGCATATTACATGGCCTTAGTGTGATCATGTAGATCCTATGTAATACAGAGGGAAAAGGAGATTCCAGGGTGGCATCTCCATCCCTGGATGTTTCCAAGAGTCACCTGAAACCTTGACTGACCTGATCTAGCGTTGGGGACACTGGCACTTCAAGTGGGAGCTTGGAGTAGACGACCTTCAGAGGTCCCTAACATCCAACATTTCTATGAGCCTAAGCAAACAGAAACAAAGAGAGGGTCTGAGACACTCAGAAAGGGGAGACATAAGCCCCAGAGCCACAGGAGTTCTGCCATGGATGGTCTGCAAGTCTGCTCCTCCACTGTTTTTTTCTAACTCTGCAGTCTCTCTTTAGGCTCTATTTTAGCTTTTAAAGTCAGAGTTTAACAAAACACCAAGCAGTTTCCATACTGGACACAGTGAATTCACAGAGACTGGTAAGCCTTCCTGTGGGAATGTCAGAGCTGAAATGACATGACAATTCACAACAATTAACATCAGGTATTTAAACATTAAAGTGCTATTTTAGACTAGCAATAGAGTTCGACACTATTATGGAGAAATGCAGGATGGAAATCCCCTGGAAATCAGAGCCGAGATATATGGATACATTGCTGATTACCAATTAGCCAATTCCTCTATTTAATGAGTGCTTTAACAATACATTCACACAGCTTCTCTCATCAACAAATTATCAGGTTTGTTTGAATGATGGTATTTTCCATAAAACTTTGTCAGTCACCACTTATTATACCTCTAGCTTTTAATTTGTTAACAAATAAATATTTTATGAATGACTCCATTACAATAATGGATGTTAGTTTAACTGCCATATAATTTAACAGGGCTTGGCTGTTATAAATGTTAGTAGAGATCAATTCTTTTCTCCTTCTAGGACTATTAAAAGTTAACATTACCAGGTCAGGGAAACACTCAGTTATGCCCCCAGACATGGAGAAGAACTCCAGGCTCACCAGCTGGAGGAATTATTATCCTCATAACATTTTATTTAAACTCATTACACTTGAAACACACAGGCAGAGACCAAACACAGTGACAGCAACAAGCACTGCCCTTCATGGCTTTGCTGCCTTGTTGGAAAAGGTTATTTAGGAGACATGAAACAGAAACAAAAGGGGGATAAGGTACATGCAGCAGCAGGGTACAAGAATGAGTGGGCATGCATGTAGGAAAGAGAGGAACAGAAGGAGGAATCTGAGGAAGTCAACAAGCAGCACAGGGCAGAGAACACTGGTCAGAAGTGCACAGTTCTGTGGGGACACCCGATCCTTGTTTGAATTAAACGGACTGCTCAGGTTATAGGTTTTTGCTGCTGTCTTTCCACATGGATCTCCACGCAGAGCCATATGGCAAGGTTCTCATACTTTCAAAACAAACGTGGCATGGTCTTCATACTTCTGAGACTTAACAGCCTCTGAGTAATTGGAATGATTTAGCTAATCTGAAAACAAACAACATCCAAAAAAGCATCTTCCACCCAAATCAAAATTTCTTCACATTTCTTCACATACCTCTCCTTTAATCACTGAGGATTGACTGGTTCCTGTTCTCAGTGTTTCCTCTGTTCTGCAGTCATCCATCCCTTTAGTTTTGTTTTTATTATCAATATTTTATACACACCATTTTTGAAGTGATTTCTCTTCATCCCTTCATGTTTGCTATAAAATATGACTGAACAACCTAGGATAATGTTCACATTTCGTTTGCTAGTCAGTGCATTGGGCCTTTCCCTTGAAGTTTATCCTCATGTTAGACAGCAGCATTTCAGGCCTTGTGGTTGTTCAGTTTTGCTTCTTTCTGGTTTTTGGAGGGTGGAGAGGGGCCCTCTTTTGTTGTTTGTTTGAGGTTTTTTTTTTCCCAGAGGGGAGGGGATTGTTTTTTCATTAAAAAAGGAATCCCACTTTCCATCACCTTCTGCCTACTCTCAAGAACTGCTGCTTATTTTCAATCCCTCAAGCTTTTGGGAAGTAAGCTCTAGTGAAGTTTTCCTGAAACATCAGATATATCTATTAGCAGGCAGGATGATATTTGCTCAGGGTTAAACCAATCACAATGATCACAGGGTCACTTAGCCCACTAACAATTTCCAGTCATGTAATTCATGTGTACATCATAAACATATCTCATGATCCAAAATTAAAATCCAAGAGACAGTACTCTTCATGACAGAATGAAAGACCTCCCAAACAAAATTCTCAAAATACCTTTAGACACGTGCTTATGCAGGTACTGAACACATCACATTTCCTCCAATGCTTTCTGGTGGATCTAGAACCTATAATTAACTCTTAGTTTAATGATCCTCACTTACTCTATATTCCCCAGTTCAAAATAACTGAAAATTCTACAAGAAGTAGGGATCACAGTCCTGTTCTCTTTCATTTACTCATCCTTCCTAAATGCAATTAGCTACATAGTTTTACATTCCTTTAGTGCAATTAACGCAACAGTTTTCTATTATGCTGATTTTACCAAATCTTTATTCAATTAAAATCTTCACTACTGATTTTATACTCATTGGCATATATTTGAATTTGGTATTCAAGAAAGAGGGTGGAAAAGGGAAGCAACATCTATTTGTGAGTAACACACGGTTGGACAAAATTCTTTCCCTTTAGCTCTTTCCCTTGTAATGTTACCTTACATTAGCATCCATATTAGGGATGTTACCTCTGTTACTTGACAGATACAATACTGCCCATTTGCCAGGTCTTCCTTCTAGAATCAGTATTTCATAAAACAGTCATTTCTGTCTACTTCAAGCCAACCACATGCTCCCTCCAGCTACTCAGGTCTCCTGTTTCCAGAGCCTGTCACCAGACAAGCAAAATGTCAAAACCCATCTGGATTTTATTCTCCCTCATTTCACTTCCAAGATCTTGAGAACCCCTCTTTCTTACATAGTTCTATCTGTATGATTACTTCCACAAGCTCACAGAGCATTATTTCTGCCTTACAATTACAGTTTTACATTTAACAAAATGGTTTGTAGAATTCTATTTTAATATCATTCTTAAAGATCTGTTCATATATTTTTAAATTCACAGTGATGCTTTTCCTTTCAAGACTGCCATGTTACATGACAGCAGCAGCATTTAGCACAGATAACTGTAACCAAAGTGTTAAGGTTGGTATGAGTGGAGAACAACTGGGTACACAGAGGTGTAGGAGAAGGCAAAAGAACAAATGGCATCACAAGGGCTGGAACAGAGTTGTGTGCTGGTGGAAGTCAGATTAGCAGGTCAGTGCTATCCCTGAACACTTGTGCAGGCAGTTTCTCAGGGCACACAGACCAGGAGATGAAGGATAGGAGCAGCACAGGATGGTGAGAGCACATGCCAGACAAATTGATTTGGACACACATCTTGGTTCTCTTGGCATATGCAAGTATTCATGCTTAAGAGTGAGACTTTGTAAGGTAATTTGGTTTTAAAATTAAGTCACTTTCCCTTCCTCTAGCTATTCTAATTGGTACAATGTTATTTTCTACTCTAGCATGTATTATACTTCCTTTTTGGTAAGTAAATCCTAAAACATGGCATGTAAGTAAGTAGAATATCAAGTGTCCGACCTTGTGCTTTTCTCAATACAGATAAACTATACCAACAAAAACATGCAAAAAAATGTTGTAACTTACTCTCAGCCAACCCAAGTTTTACTAAAAACCTCGGGAAATTAAAGCAAGTGACATATCTGATTGTTAAATTGAGAATTCCTGTAAAGTCACACATTACTCCCATTTTCTGTGACTGTTTGGTGCATATTTCAGTAATTTCTCTGACCCTCCCACTAGTCTGACTTCTATCAAAGCCTCACCAAATTAAATATTGTCAGAACACACTTCTACTAAAGGCAATGAAAGCCTTCAATTGTCAACAACAACAAAACTGTTAAAGAAATATTCCTGGATGTGCTTGTCATGCAAACACTGCATCACTAACCTGAAAATAAAATACTATTAATTAATTTTCACAGTGTAAAATGTCAGATGTAAATAAAAATCCTAATTCCTCAGATATTTAAAGCCAAAGAGGTTAAACAAGTTAATGACATTATCAGTGAGCCAAGGAAATCTGCATGCAGAACTCACTTTTTAAACTGTCATTGTCCTTGAGCTGTTTAAACCCCAGAGCATTTATTCAGCATCTCAATATTTACTACTCCTCCAATCAACTCCCCTCACTTTTCTTATATAGGTCCTACCCTCCCACACTGATATTTCCCCCTGGCAGGAAGAGATGCACCAGACCTCTAAAGCCAAGAGAAATGCAGACCTGCTTATGCAATGCTTGCTGTGAAATCTTTGCTTATTCCCTGTCATTTTACATTTCAAGCTCCTAGGACTGCTCAGATACTCCTTTCACTTTTTTGTACACTTTTAGTTCAATCTAATATAAAGTTTAGTTAATTTATATTATATGCTGAAATGAAAAATTTATGATAGTAATTTTTAGCCCTAAGGAGTAGATGTTATCAATAAGTTAAAATACCTTCAGCTTTGCCTCAGGATGTTCATATGCCTGAAGCATTCTGTCTTCTCATGATAATACAGTATTTGCTCCAGTCATATTTCCTAAAATTGCTTTTAACTTCTTTTTAGTCTAATACATTTCTGAAGAAAATACATATTTTCAATCATTTCTTAGTATTTTCAATCATTTCATGCATATATGAACATTTTAAAATGACAAATTTGTACAAGCTACTACTTTTAAGACTGTCGTAAGAAACAACAGATAAAAACATTTTTGAAAGATATTTTCCAAAATAAGATTTAAGCAAGAGTAGCATTTAAACATACACTGACTTGTAGAAATCATAACTTAAACTGTACAACTGTAAGAATTAAACCAACTCTACCAGTTTTGAATTCAACACTGACAAATGTAACTCCAAATGCTGAGAAAAATGCAAAAATATACATATCCTGGTTTTGGACAAAAGGAAAAATGATTAAAAGCAAATCTTGTTCTAATGAGTCTCCTCTATTAGTAGATACTTTCATAGCAAATAAGCAGCAAATTTTCATCTCCTGGAGGCCAGCAAATTTGACAAACGTGCTGATGAAGACCATCAAAAGAAAAACTTAGGCTGGGGATTTTAGTAGAAAAGGCTTTTACAGAAGAAAAGGTTGAAAACTCATTTCTATAACAGAAAAAAGTTTAAAACCAGACCGAGTTACAGTGGAGAAATTTTGTTCCACAAGGAAAATGATAAGCACAGTTTAGACATGCAAATTATTTAACTTATAATTGTGCTTCTAAAATTTATGATTGAATTGCACCTCCCATTCCCAGACTGCATCCATCTCTTCCAAGAAACACTTTTTCCAAAAGCTAATTTCAGAATTGCAACAATGTCAAATTTTTATTCCCATTTGTTACAAATAAATATAATTCCTTATAAGAAATAGAAACTTACAGATTTAATTTACTTACAGATTATTAACATACAAATAATGAATATTTATTATCTAAAAACACTGTATGCATATACATGTTACTAGTAATTCAGCACTGAAGAAGAAAAATTACTATTACTAATTTTCAACTAAGTAGAAGTCAGAAATGCCAGTTTCTCACTGGTAAAGTTTATAAGTCTCTGAATCTGGCAATAATTTCTTACAATACTACAAAGACTTTTCACAGTACTGTATACTAAAAAAACAATAAATTGTGGAAATGAAAAAAGTTGCCACAAAGATTCACATATGTTAAGTTTTCAAAAGCCAGACTTAATAGCTAAGCATCAGAAAGCAGGCACTTCATGATTTCAGAGTTGAATTCTCAATTAAAGCTTGCACATTTATCCTCTGCATAAAGTATCTAACACAAAATCCAAATTTAGGAGAAATTTTTGTACCCAATTCAACTAGCTGATGTATATTTTCTTTCCCTACCAATAAGCACAAAAGAGGCACAGGATTCTTGGATTATCCTGGAGGGTCTGGAAAAACAGAAGAAACATTCCCATTTTGTCATCTTGACAAAATATTTCTTCAAAATATTTTACTTCCTCAGGTAAAGAACTTAGGCACGAAAGGAAAGAAAATGTCTGCATACTTGAGTTAACCTTTTTATTCAGAAAACAAATGAGAGTTAAGACAACGTTTTCAGATATATTAAACATTTTTGTTTCTTATCAGTCAATTTCTGCTTTCACCTGCCATTGCTGATTACCCCTTAGTTGAAGCAAGAACTTTTGCTTAAATGAAATGCATTGATAGAAGCTGTTTAACTAATGCAAATGAGCAAAGAAGCAAGAAATGATATCTTAAGAAAGCAGAGAACATGGCTGTTACAGAGAGAAGAATCCCTGCAAATTTGCTATTTTAATGACCTACACCACAGTCATATTTTCAGCTCATTGGAATATGCACATGCAACCCCCCTGTTTTCCAACAGGGCTAATGTTTTAAATCACTTTTATGAAAATATTTGCATTTACATTGGACTCCAGTGATTACTTGGCTCATACCATGTGAGCATGCAATCAGTTTATTACTGTCCTACTGATGACTCATCTGTACACAGAGCAGCCACAAACATTTTCCTTGCGAGAGGGATTTTTGATAGCTCAGTTCTAGCAGAGTGGTTCAGAAGCCCAGAAGAAAGCAAAACACTGCTCCCCCTGGAAGAAGCCTTTCAGTCACAAGCAGCTTGGAACATGCAGATTCTTCAGACTGCTATGGACTTCTGCTGCTATATTTAGTATCTCCTACTGTTTCAGCTGTTCCTTTTTTCTACATCATAACATTCACACCCTTTACAGTAAATCCAATACATTTTTTGCCTTTTAATAAAGTTTCAAATACTTAGCGAAGCTACCGTGCAGCAGCTCTGCAAACAGAGCTTGTCAAAACATTTCTGTACATTTGACACTGACCTGCTAAATCCAGAAACAGAGATGGCTCCTCTGTTTCCAGTCCAAGATAAATTCAGCCACTGGATGAGTGTGCAGCGAGACTGTAGGTGCTCCAGGGATGTGTCATTAATCCTTGCCCAGTAAGGTTGTAAACTGAGATGAATGTACTGCAGAGGGTCACAGCAATGTTGATACAGTAGCTTACAAGTTTGTGCTAGTCTACACAGGTCTGGTACTGTAAGGTGACTCAAAATCAACTGGATGAGCTATATTAAAAAACAGGGAAGAAAAAGTCACAGATGGTCATATAGCACTTAAAACATTAAGGGAAAACTGCAAAGGAGTAAGAAAATGTGTTCTAACTTCAAGGAAAGTAAAACCTTTTACTTAAAAGTAACTTCTCAAATAAATCGATTAACTATTAAATAGAACTGCACTGCCATCTCAATTTGACAACATGCTAAACAAGAAAGGAAAAAGCAGATCAGCATATGAAAGTGACAGGAAGCTTTCAAATCAAAAATTTCTTTACCTATGCTAATTTAAACAGTGATATATACGTAAACACTATGTTTATATATTTCCTTTCACTAAGTCTGCTCTTCATTGAGCAGAACACAGAACTGGCATCCTCCTTCTTCTCTGTGTTTGGTTTTTAAGATGGGAGATATTTGCAAAGTACATGGAAAAACTATATCATGTCCCAGTTTCCCCACACCCTAAACCAATTTCAGATTTAAAAATCAGTGTTTTGTCTTCTATCTTATATCCTCTCCTCTGGACTATGCAACCAGGTAAAAAATTCAACATAATCAGATCTCCTTTTACGATCTCTCCCTTGCTGTAATACTTTGAGAGCATTTTTGTTCTACACCAGAGTAAAATCTGAACAGCAAAACCCCTTTTTAACTGCATCAGTTGAATCATCTCAGCTTCAGAATAATCACCAGCCTTTCTGACTAGCATCCCTGTTACAGTTTTTGTAATAACTTATGTCACACTCAGGAACTAAGAAATATCCCTCCTCTCTGTTTTCCTTTCCAAGGAATGATCAACACAGACACAAATACTCTCTTTAGGAAATAAAAACGCCCGACAAAATAAAGAAATCCCCTTTAGCTTAGGAACTGAGAGAAAACGCACTTGAAAAGTGAAATCTAAAAATTAATGTTTACTTTACCAGAGCTGTCTCTAGCAGATGTAAGTACCTGCACTCAAGTTATATAACTTAAACTGACTGTTATCAAGCAGAGTGGGAAAGAGTAACTCACCAAAATGAATCAGAGTAAATGAAAAAACTACAACTCACAAATCAACTCTAAAGGAAGAGAATCCTGTCCCTTCAAAATACCAACGTTTCATTTTAATGTCTTAGAAGGATTCATAAGACAAATCCGCCAAAAATCAGAATAAAATCTGTGACGTAAAACGAAAATGGAGCTTTTTGTGAGATCCAAACAGATTGTACTTCCAATGCATCACTTTATTATGCAGCTGCTCTCCACCTCCCCTCCTCCCCCCTTCATTTTTGGAACAACAAAACAATTCAACTTCCTGCAAAATGGAAAATGTTACTTCCTACTCAGCTCCAGATTTAGTATTTAGATTTCCAACAAGATCTATGTATCTTAAAACATTTTAGCTTAACTCCAATGCAAAAATACAGTGTTTGATATACTCCAGTTTCTTTCATACTTGGTTTCAAGTCTTTCATCTTCTCTTCCCCTTGCATGTCCCTTTCCCTAAAAACAGCCCAGACTTTTGTCTCTGCAGGTCTCTGGAACTCAGATTGATGCAGAGGACCAGCACAGATATTTCAATGCATCAGCATATGTAAAAATATATTTATGCACATATAGTATAACTGCAGTTACATTAAAATCAGCAAAGTTTGCACCCAACTGACATTTAGGAACCTGTTGACATTTTGAAACCTAAAATATCCAAAATAACTAGGATCTAACAAAGATATAATCCCAAATTAATATCTTGATTTTTGCAAGCTTTCAGCTAATCCACACTATGTAAGTCAGCTAAATATCTGTTTTATTAATGCCTTTTCCCTCAGATTTTTCTCCCCTAGTTTCTAGAGCTGAAAGGTCAGCAGAGGCTGCACAATTAGCAGAATTTATGTCTACAATTAATGTGACATAGTATCTGATAAAAGCAAAGTAATACAAACTTCATTCAGTGAGAAAAAAGCTGTTTTGTAACTTCTGAGCAATACAGAGGATGGTAAATGTAACTATAAATGACTGAACAATGTCCATTTACACTAACTGATTACTTCAATTAGTATTTTGTAACACACAGGATGTCTTTCAACACCTGAGATGAAATTGCCCCCATTTCAATCAAAAAAATCTATCTTTATTTTTTACTGAATTTGTGCTACTTCATAATATATGGAATGAAAACACACCATGAAATGTCACTCCTAGGTTATTATGTTACAGAGTGTTTTTTCCTGGCTTTTGATTAAACAAAAATAACAGGTTCAAAACGTACAGGCTAATAACCATTAATCACCATTAGCCTGGAGTCTGGTGTCCGTCAGGAACACACTTTTTGTGTCTGTGTACCCTAGCATAAAGTACAATTTGGTATCATAATGAGTTTGTGACATGATGTGCTGTACTGTGCTACGCTGTGTTCGTGGTGATTCCAAGAATCCTACAGAAATGAGTATCTGCTTTGAAAACTAATATCATAATGTAGTTTCTCACAAACAATTTTTACTGTGATTTTTTTCACGGTTTTTACTGTGAAAAATTATGACAATCATTATTATTTCACACTTTCTTATAAATCAATCAGTAAAAACAAAGTTTATTGGAAAAAGAACAGAAAGAAAACAAAATATAATTTATATAACACTGATTGCCTTTTTAGGCTATGATGGACTAAGAATACAAGAGTACCTCCTCTCCCATTTCCAGGGGAAAAAAAGGCACATGCTAGCTTTAAAACAGGTGGTTTTTTTTAACTACCAAATAAAAAATATCTTAAAAAAAATTAGCTTCTTACCTTCTGCAAAGTTTGCCTATAAGCCCACACAGAATTTCCACTACCCAGTACAAATGGCAAAACTTTGCTTACTGAACCAGAAGTTTCTCTGACTTTTTAAGCTTTTTCATTGAAAAACAGCAAGCAACAACCATTTGTACTTATAAAATACTTTCCCTTGCTAGAGCACAGTAACACCCAACTTGATTTTGTCAGAAAAGAATGTCTGGATGCTGGTCAAACCTACAGTACTCATACTTTCCACAAATTTCCTTTTTCAGTTTTTCCACATGAAGATGAAATGGTTTTCCAATAAAAAAAAAAATACACTGGCCTATGCAAACCACTCATTCAGAAACAGACAAATGAACAACCTGCAATTTTTTAATTCTTGCAGCTAGAGCTGCTACAGCTTAGAATCCATTTAATTAGAACTGATATTAAAACATGCTCAGGTAAATGACAAAGTATATGTGCACAAAGAGACAAAAAGAGAAGACATGAAGAAGATGGTATTTTAGAGCTTTTGACATTTCTCAGCACAGTTTAAGAAAACACACATCCCAGGTTCCACACAGTACGACTTGCACCAGCAAACACACACACATTTATTAGTGCATGTGAACACCAGCAGACATGAACAGCTCATAAAGCTTGTTGGCAGCTTTTGGGAAACTCAGCTTCAAGGAATGACAAAGATGTAATTTATATCTTTGTATACCAAAATTTTTATCCAAAAATATTTTGGACTGGAGCATGCAGAGTCTTCTGACTCTCCTCTCTGGAGAAAAATAAACTGAGTTTTTAGTAGCCAGCACATCTTGGTGAGTCTGAAATGCACAACATGGATGCTATGCAGGCATTCCTCAGCTTTCCCAAAAGCTTTGAATTTGGTCAGGCCTTCAGACTTCAAGTATTCCTGCAAAGCCAACTCAGACTAAGTCCTTATTCCTTCCACTTTACAAGCAGCACAAGATGGTCAATGATCTGGGAAGGGAGACCAGGGCATGAAGTCTCTCCTCTAAAATCCTTCCTCAATTTTAGGATGGTTCTGGAGAAGAGATCACAGACAGTACAAGTACCTCACAGCTAATTAACAGCTGCTTAACACCATCCAAGGTTAGGGAAGGGAAATTCTCTCACTAGGTCATCTAAAAATTTACAGTTTCTTCTACAGAAGTCTGTGCCCCAGGAAGCTGAGCATTTTTCTCTTTTTTAGACAGGAGCAATCCTAAAATGCCTTTGGAGTTTATACTGCAGCAAACCATTCCTAATGCCATTTTGAGGAACAACATATCCTATGAATGATAGTCTATGGAAGTTTCAGAAATACAAAGGCAAAAAAACAATAAAAGGCTGGAGGAACTGCTGCCTACTTAGCAAAACCCACTCAGCTTTTACATTTTGTGAATTACAGAGGATGGTATGAAAAAGCCTCAAACAGTTCAGATAAGGAACAGGCACATTTATGAAAACTTAGGGCAGTTGCACATTGACAATCAATACAGACCGACAGAAAAGGTGCAATTTTTCATGCAATGCCTCAATCAAAACCAGAAGGAGTCAGCAATTGCCTTACTTCACCCACAGTTTGAACACTTCCCCTAAAAAGCTGACATTTGTCAGTCTTAAATAGAGCATGCAGAGTACTGCTTCCATATCCAAGGTGATAAAAATTGTCAGACCACCAAGTACAACATTTTTGTTGCTCCAATGCCCAACCCTTCCAGCTGGACTAGAAAGTAGGAGACTGGGATTTTTGCTGTCACAAAACCAGCACAGAAATAGTTTTTTATAGTTTTCTGACAAATATTCCACCCATATTTTCAGTTTCTTTAAACCAAGGCAGAAGAAAAAAGACGTTCTTGGTATCGACAGAACATATAAATTTATTCATGAAACCAAACATGCTAAAAAATGGATAAAAGAGCAAGCTGGTAGACAAAAAGAAGAGCAGAAAAACAAAATAAAGTATACGGAGACAGAAGTTCACAGGTGCAACAAGACTACACAAATACTTCCTAAATTAAAATTTTAATATGTGTAATCAACCAGTTATGGTTTGATTCAATGATCTTGGAGGTCTTTTGCAACCTTCATGATCCTATGATCATGTGGGAAAGAGATTGATCAATCTCTCTGATATTTTAGTATATTACAAATCAATTTAGCCAGCCTTCTCAAACAAGAAAAATTCCTACATTTAAATGAAGTTTTATCTGCAGTTAATTTCCTTGAATTACTAAAACCAACATGTTTTCAAACTTTCAAACAATTATGCAAAGTACTTTCTTTACTTCAGTACTGCCATGCAAGCATCAACAGCAAAATATATTAAACACCATGTGTACTCTGGGGAGAAAACAAACAACCAAACACTACAAGAGCTAACTCATGATAAAATTAGTTTCCTTATTTATTATTCCACTGCATCAACAAAAAAAAGAACCTCAAACCAAACTCAAGAGGTTTGGTTTCAAGAGAAGTTTCAAAAGAAGACAGAGTTGTTACATTCCCTTACTCTCTCCTTCCTCTTTACAAGCACAAAAAACTTCTGCAGGCTACTAGGGGTGGATGGTCACCCAAGCATGGCCTTCATTTGTTAAATTGGGGTACTTAGAGGCAAAAGATGTTGTAAGACTGAAATACTACTTGATTAGATGAGGCATTTCTGCAAGCACCCTCCAATCCACGGCAGCACACCTCAGCCTCCCTTTCAAAAGCGAGTCTGGTTCAAGGCACAAGCACTCTGAGCATTTGCTGAGCTACCACTGAATGAATGAACACTTGCTGCCTCTGCCAGACTGCAGCAGGAACAATCCTGCCTCTACCCAAGTCTGACCAGCAAGTAAAGGCTCCTTTCCACGATGTGCCAACAGTTTATTTCAGGAGAGGTGAAGGTAATTGTTTCATCTCTCAATTCTTACTCCAATCAGGGTACCAGCCTTCATAAACAGCTGTACCCCCCTGAGAATTGCCTGGCCTGCACATGGTATTCAGCAATCATACTCCACAATTTCATTATACTGGAAATTAGAGGAAAGAAAATACTCATCTACACACTCTGAGCAACCATTGTGCTGCCAGGGGAGCTAAAAGGAGTTTTTCACAAATGTTTTCTGTGTTAAAGACAGAATAAAAAGCAGCAAGCATAAAAAGAAGACAGTGTGCTGAAGTCCAGCTATAACATATTTTACCTGCACCACAATTCAAAACTTAGCTGGATGGGAAAAGCTCATTTAATAATAATATAAAAATATTATGGCACTTTCAAGAACAAAGCTCTGTAAGTTTTGTAAGCGAGAAAATAGGAAAACGAACTTTTAGCCTATTGCAAACTCTTTCCACTTCCAGATGCTGACTGAATCTTTCCATATCTCTTCTGTGTATTTTCTTTGTCAAGCATGAGGACTAAAAACCTACTGGAAAACTGCTAAAAGCTTTTAAGTTCAAGAGCTGGAAATTCAAGGCTACAGTATCTGGTGTAAAAACTGTGTGAGTGCGAAGATCCTTGAGAAGTAAGAGTGCAGTAACTATGAAAATACTTAACATCCACCCATGGAAGCAGACAGACTTACAGAACTCAGGCATACCTAAACAGTAAATGCATGAGATTCACAAGGAATGCAAGGAACTGGGAAAAAACAATCCTGACCAATACTCTGTAAAGCACCTTTGCACCCTTAACGATCAAGACAATGATTGAGGGTAAACATGCTTTCCTTACCTCATAAGGCAGTTTATCAAAATATCCATTAGTTGGCCATTCCCTGAGGGTAACAATACTGAACTGTTTATTAAGGGCATCCATTCCACAGGCAAATTTTTCTTCATCCTCATCTTCATCTATATCATTCATATCAATCATGGAAGTCTTAAGTGAAAGCACGGGCCTCTCTTTCACACCATGTAGTACCACTGCATCCAGTTCAGTGTAATAGTCCAGAAGGGAGCTGTTCACCTCCAGTCGGATCAAGTTTGTGGGGAAGTTTATCTGCTTGATACAAGGTGTGAACTGCCGAGCCTGAGGACCATTCACCTTTGTAGGTGCCTCAGACCAAAGTATTTCCCATCTGGGAAAAAAAACAAACACACATACAGTACAGGAATTAAAATCAAAGTTACTAAAGCGATTCCTGAGCACAGTAAGAGGGCAACATCATCTGTCACAAGTATTTAACAAGCAAGAAAAGGCTGAAAAATGATTTATGATACTTACATTTTCTCAAGATTTGATAAATACCCTATGGATGAATTTAATTCCTGGTAAACTTACACTAATTCATGACCTTAGCATATTTTCTCCACTGAATAACAAAACAAGCCGTAGAGTCACAGTCACTTGTGTTAGTGTTATCTGTGACCAAGTTTACCTAGCAGCTCACAGGTAAGGTAATGAAACAAATGGATTGCTGATGTCTTCACAATGATGGCATGTCAGTGTAAGTACACAAGCAACACTCTTGCCTCTAACCCAAAGAGAGTCATCTGACCTCTTATTTCCTACAAAATAAAAGAAAAAGATCCCCACCACTTAGACTATTTAATATCAAACCTGTCCAAATTACTGTGTTACAAATTAGTAAAAAAAATGTAAATTTTACAGTGTTTATCTGCCTAGGCAAGCAAAATGTTCCTTTTACGAGTAATTCAGTGACATACTAGCAAAGAAAGTAGAAACTTCAAGTCATTTTTGAAAGAGTCCTTTGCAAAAGATGCCAGAACTTCCAAACTGCTGCACTGGAAAGCCTTTCTCCTCTTTGGTCCAGTGAGAGACAAAAGAAGTTCAAGGCATATACAGAGCTACCATACATAGCATGGTACACACCTTACTTCAATACACAGACCCCAGAACTCCTCCACCAAGTGGCAGGAAAAACTGAGTAACCTGGAGGAAACAAGTCTTACATTCCTTGGATCTTCAGCACTCCCAAGCCCCAACTTCAAGGAATTCTCTCAGACTTCTTGTCCTATTACATGAATCTTAGAAGCACTCTAGATAGAGCTCTTACTTCAGTACTGGCTCCCCAGTACCTCAGCATCTTGGCTTCCCCTACCAGACACCACTACTTTGAACTTACAACAGAAACAAATGTTTTAACTTTTTCCATCATAACAGAAAGTGAAAAAAATGCAGAGATTTTCATTAAAACACTGCACACAGCATAAGTAAGGTTAAGAAGTTTGATATTTGGAAAAAAAAAAAAAAAGGAAAAAAGGGAAAATCAAGAAAATTAATCCACATTGCCCATAACTTCCATTTCACAATGAACATTTTCAGGTATGCACAGATAATTTTCCTATCCTACATCATGCTGCTCTCCAAGTACCTTATAATAGAATGGGAGACTTGCAGAACTCTTACGTCCAAGGGAAAAAAACCCCAAAAATAAAATGAACTAAAACCAAACATAAAGAGTAGTGAGCATATGGTACATCAAAGTACTAACACAGGAGAGTGGACAGCTCTACCCTAAAATTTACAGTTTTTATAAGAGAGACATAGTATTAAGAAAAGATTTCATTAATTTACAAAATGAATGTCTACCCATGGCAAAGGAACAGGGGTAGTCCCACTGTCACATCCTCTCACACAGGTCGATTCTCTAAGCAAATACTCAGTGCTGGCAAGGCACAAGACCTTCCTTGAACACATCCACATCACCACCTGACATTTTGCTTAGACACTTCCATGTACCCACTCAAAGTATCCTTGGGGAAACTCAAAGGCTATTTTTTCACTAATCTAACACACACTGGACCATCAACTTCTAGCAGAATGTGTCTGTTATTGACTCCTCCTTTTGGACCCTGGAGAGAGGATTATCTAGCAGCAGCAGAGCTCTTAAAAAAAATAATGTATCTGAAGATCTGGGCTCATCAAATGGCAGTGCAATAACCAGCTCCAGCAGGCAGTAGCTAGTTTCCAGTCTTTGTAATAAACTAGAGAAAATGGAAGACACGTAGCATGATTTCACAATCTTGTGAAGCTCCACATTGCATACCAAATGCTGATGAACAACAAAACCAGTGACAATTTTTCACTGTCCTTGTCATGCTGTTTACTTCTCATCAACACCCCACCAATCTAACTTCAAAGAAGTTAGCTCTTGGTCTATCTGGAAAAACTCAAGTTTATCAGGTTGATTTGATGATGCTCTCTGCCTTGCTGGCACCACAAACAAGAACAGGCAACAGCAGCTGCTCTGAGTCAGGGCTGGCCAATCTTTCTCACATGTAGGCATGGTAAATCCTTCCCATGCTCTTAGCCCATTACTACAAGTGGAAGTGATCTCTTCCTCTGGGATCACCACTGTGACACTTAAAGAGGCTGCAGGTAATCAGAATGGGAGTGAGGAATTCACATTGGGATCAAAAAAGTCTGAATTTACAAGAGGCTTCAGAAAGAATTTCATTCTTCTGTTCTGGAACATTCTTTTCTTAGGATAATCCACCTAAAAATCTTTCATAAGAAAGGCATTTTGACAGTCAGTCCTGGTTTGAGGATATGTATCACAATCAGTTCCCCTAGGAAGGTCACCTGCATCTGTTTCAAGCTTACAATGTTCAATAAGCTATTTAACCCAAAACAAAGAGAAACTGAATCCCAATAAATACCTTTAAAGAAGTCAAAGAATTTCTGCCTGCCCCACACCCTGAGTTAATGAAGCAGTTCTCAAAAATCAAGTAGAATCAAATGAATTGAGATAGTACATTGTCCTCCAGTCTTGCAGATACTCAGTAACAGCTGATCAAAGAAGTCACACTGAGAATGCTTTGATTAGGTTTCATCAGCAATGTGCTAGAAAGCCTCAGTGTTTCCAGAAAGGAGTGCCAGGCAAAGCCTGAACAAGAGTCAGCAACATTTTCTCTAGTAATTGAAGAAAAGGAGGACATTTAGTGAGTTTCTTCATTCAGCCATAGACTCAGTTTTCCCATTATATTTTTCTCTGTCCCATGGAGACAGACAGGAACTCAATTTTCTCTGATACTAAAGACTCCACACACACCTATGTGGTAAAGAAAAAAAACAAATTCCATCCTTCTTCCCTTACCATGAAGAAAAATAATGTCTAGTGATTTCTAGGCTGAGAATCATACTTGGAAGGTCTGCCTCAAACGATAGCATAGATTTAAAGCTTGACTAATTTTTTGTTGATCTAATGTTGTTGGGAAGGTTTTTAATGGTTAAGATGATGCCCGAGCAGACCTGGTTACTTCTGAAGAAATATATGTAATAAGAGAGAGTCTTTGAAAAGGGGTCTTCTAGGAAAAGTAATCAGATTTCTCTCCTGCAGTACAAGATTAAACTTTGCTTGCAATTGCTGAGGTTTCTTGTATTGTCAAATCGAGATAGGTGCAGAAAGTTAAGAAAGCACTACAAGCAATCCAATAAATGCCTCAAGAAACTAATAGGTGAGTTAAAGTTAAAAACTAATAGCTGAGTTAAAAGCCAATAGAAGGGAGAGTTCCAGACAGACCAACAAGGAGAACATAAGGATTCTCAGAGAATATAACCACCCCTTTGATGAAAATGCAACTTGTGTAACAATTATAACATGCTGCTCTTAGCCAAGCAACTGCAGAGCAGAAACCTGTAGATTACCTAGGAGAAAACATCTCCTGTCTGCAAACATACCAGGGATGCTTCAGCACACTAGTTCAAACCAGCCTGGAAAGTGTACCCCTGACCTCAGCTGTGAGCTCATAAACACAAAAGGCAGGGAAGACTGGGAAGATCATGAGCACGATTTAAGAATCATTCAGATTAGGCTGATAAGCAGAGTTCAAAGCAGTTTAATTATTATGAGAAAATACAAAGTAAATTTTCATTTCTACCAAGAGTTCAATTCTGAAATAGCAGAGACAGCAGACAAGACTCCAAGAATGCTCAGGACATTTAAAACAGCAAAACGTACTTCAAGTAACTGCTCTGTCTACATAAGCTTTTTAGGAGCTTCTCAAAAATGACTGTATTCCATGAACTCAGAATTCATTTTTCTATGACAGGCATCGAAACAAGGAAAAGCTGTTTGCCTGAAGATGTCAAAACAAGTTTGAAGTAAGGATGCAAATGTCCAGAAGTTGTGTGTTACACATAGGTGAGATACAGGCCCGAAGGTTCCTTATCACACCTGAATGTGTTGATGGTATCAGCAGAGTTTTGGGTGTTTTCATCTGAGATTCTGAGGGAATAAAAGGTGGAGTGAAAGAACCATTTGAATGCCACTCTCTACATGATATTTTACATTCAGTACACTGCCTTTCTGGTTTCACTCCCTTTTTTTAAGGGGGGGGGAGGCAGAGAGAGAGGTTCCATAAAACATTTTGATCCCTGTCCAGGCTGCTTAAATACAATAAATTTCCCATTGGAAGCAGAGGGAGCCTTTTATTTTGTCCATCTTCATTAGCGTGCTGCTCTGGTTTGTAGCAGCTTCTGTCTCTACAGGCTTCAAGACTTTCAGAAACAAACTTTGCATACAGCAAACACAGTTAAGCTTGGAAATACTGAGCCATGCTCAATTTTCTAGTAAAATTTGAAATTACATGAAATTAAACAAATTAAATAGAAATAAACAACAGGAATACACAAGGCAGAATGGAAGTGGTCCCAGACAAATGATTATGGTATCTGATCCATGAGAAAAAACCTAATAAGTGTCACACCTTATCTGTAGCAAACAAGAAAAAAATAATCACAAGATAATCTCTAATTATTGAAGAAGCAATCACTGCATTGCAGGAAGAAAAAATGCTATGAAATATTACCCCAAGTACAGCCATAGATTCCAGATTTGTTAGGAATCTCTGATTTTGAGCTTTTATAAAAGCACATGAATGTACAGTATCAATATAACACATATATGACAGAAAAACAACAGTCAAATCAAATTTTAGGAGACCATAACAGGAGAATAGGGACCATTTTTTTGTTTCATATTACAAACTTAAAAACTTAAGTTCTTTTTATAAAAGAAAAACGTTGAAAAAGTTCTGAAACAATTATTTTTGACTTTCCCATTTACACAAAGACTGACAACAACTAACTATTAAGAATATCAAAATGTATCAAAAGGGCTAACACTGAAGATGCCACTAGGGAATCATCAACAGTAAGTCTTCTGGGTAAAAAAGGAGGAAAAAAACCAGGAAAAAACCCCATTTTTCTCATCACAGAGACTAGCTATAACTTACCCATCAATCTAATACACTATGAAAAACAAAGAAAACACTCTTGGTTGGGCTCAGCTTATGCTGCATTTGTCCCCACCACATGTGTGTAGAGCTCTGCCTCTTCCACTGTGCAAGGTCCCAGGGCCACACTAGTAAAATAATCATAACACAATACAATCAAAAATAGGGATTGATTTCTTCACCACATAAAAACTGAGGCTTTATGTTACAATCTCAGACTATTATTTCTTTCTTGGGTTTTCTGCACTTGGTTAATTCATATAACAAATCTGTACATGGAATGTTAGTATAGCTTAAGGAATTGCCTACACTTCTCATCAATCAAGAGGCACAAATAAAAAGCACAAAAGGTCTCTATGTGTTAGAACAGCAGTCCCTCTGACACTGATGATTTTTAAAAATTGTTTTATGTAGAGAAAAGGGATGTAATGCCTTTTGTGTTTGAAGCAGTGAAAGATATGAGAGGACAGAGAATTCTCCAGCTGCTGGATGCCAGTTGAACCATAATGAAAAAAATGTCAAACTAACTGTCATGTTCTAAGCATGAGGATTACTTGGAAACAATTGCAAACCCTCTGAGAAGTAAATGCTTATTCCCATTCCATGAAGATGTGACCCCCACGTCCAAAGACACTGAATAAAGCTCACCTGAGACAGCATCATACAAAGCTGCAATAGCAGTGCTCAGTGCACCAGCAAGAAAGGAACATGACCAAAGAGCATGTTCTGAACATCTGCAAGAGCTGTTCTTTCATGCAACTGAAGCATAAAGTGAGTAATACATTGACCAAGTATGCAGGTATTAGCCATTTTTAACAAAAATATGTAAAATTCTCTTGAGCAAGAGCTGTGATACACTAGCTCCTCATAAAGAGACTTGCAGCCTAGAAGCTTTTGTACTCAGCAAAGTTTTGACTTCACTGACAGTTTGGCCTTCTTTGTATATCAAGTAGGAGCTGGTGAAAGAGAACTTTCCTAATGACCTGCCCTTTCCACACTGGTGTTCAGAAACATGTACAGTGTCAGCTGATAAAACAAAGCAGCACTGAAAGTTTCATTGGTAATAACCCAAGTATCAAAAAACAAAGTATCAAAATAGTCAGAAGAGGAAAACAAGGTTCTAAGTGCCTTTTGATTAAGTAGGTCATGGCCTTTTTTAACAGAAGAAAATAGTATGGCAATGCTTCAAACCAAAACATCAGTCAAACAAGGAATCACCTGAGATTACAGCAGCATTCCATCTTCAAAAAAAAAGAATTCTTAGTTGATATCTCAGAGAATTTTTGGAGGTAAAAACAAGAGATCAAGAACAGAAGCAGAAAAGAGACTGCGCTCTTGCAACTCTTCAGATTCCTCTCATAAAGGTGAGCAAATGAACAGAGAAAAAATATTGTGTCCCTGATGCGGAGAAAGGGTTCCTTTATCTTCCCTTCCTGACACCATACATAAGACATTGCCTTCTTTAGAAAAAAAAGAGACAAACCAAATGCTCAGCTCCAAACACACAAATCCTGCAGAGCAAAGGTAAGCAAACAGAAAAAAGCATCCCTCTAACACTTCTCTAGCATCAAGACTAACAATTATTGAAGAGGCAGCACAGACTACTCCTTCCAAGGATGCCTGAGACAATCTTTTTCCAACCAGCAATGTTAACCTATGCATCCAGGACAGGGGGCATTCTTGCCTACAAATTAAAAAGCAAAATCCTACAGAAACTTTATCTTTTATTATGAAGAAGAGCATTTGAGCTCTCACTCTGACCACACCTCAAGAGAAGCCATAAAGCCCATACTCCAAAGTTTTATATTAGTATTTTCACTTCCATCTCCCTTTAGCTCTCTGTACAATTTTCTATTTCTCTTTTTTTGTGTACCTAATTAAACAGGTCCTTCAGTTAACTATTTGCGAACTTTCCTCCAACCTGTGCTTCACCATAAAGAAATAAGATCTACATCACAAAATAAAAAAGTGAAATGGAAGTTCACAGAATAATTGCCCAGAAGTCATTTCACATTAGGTTCTGAATTTGAAAGTCTAAAGCTGCCTTCACCACATACCATTCTGGAAATAAGTTCTGTATTACAGTGCCAAAAGCACTCATACTGCTAAAGTTAGGTGGCCTATTATTATTACTTTGACCTATCACTGTTCCTTGAATTCAGATGTTTACTTTAGAGCTATACAACATATCATATTCTCATTAGATCTGTAAAACAAGCAACTGCACTTAGCCACAGCAGATGACAGAAGCATACAAAATATATTAACTGGGAATTTTGAATATAAACCATGACACCTGATTTTCCAAGGGTTTTTGAATGATCGTCAATGGCCCAGTATTAGAAAGCAAGGGATAATAAGTTAGACCTAAAAATATACTTTTTAGTGGCATCTGTAAAAGGTAAGTCAGTAAAAAAATCACCCAACATCCACGCTAGCACTGCTTATACCACCAAAGTGTGTGTTTCATAACAATATCATATTTGTTGACATACTAATCTTTACAGGACACATTTTGTTAAGTATTTCTTCTATAAGCTCTCCCTTCCTTTATATCTTTGGTATCATTTAAGCTCTTTTTGATATGGAATACTTCAACTGCATATACTGACAGCTTTTGCCAATGTTTTTCCCCACTACATGGTTTGACCTGTTCACTTGCTCCTTCCATTTGTATTTCCTCACCTCCTCACTAAGAGCTTCTCACCTCACACACAGTGTTTTTCTTTACTATCTTACCATTCCCCAGGTTACCACACTCCTAATCCTGCAATTGGAATTTCATCAAGACTTCCTAATATAAGGAAAACCAACAGGATCAAATCAGCTTCTTTTAGATGAAGTGAGTATAAAAACAAGTTGAGCTCACCACCCTTTGACCAGACCAAAAATAAAGATCAGACAAATGGTATCACCTTTTGTCTGACTGTTCTGTGCTTCTGGTTTCAGCTTCATTTCCATATGAATAGTTACAGTGCCTAATTATACTATACATTCAATCTAAAGCATGCAGAGAAGAAAGAGTCCATGGCTACTTGAAGCAGGATGTTACAGCAGCCATGAATCCTCAACCTCTTTTACACAATTTCCTCTTCCTACTGAAGGAAGAGCTCAGAACTACCACTACAGAAGTAGTGTTTTATACAGATGTATTAATTATTGCCCATAAAAATTCCAACATCACAGCTATCATTACACAAATTAAAGTTGATATTAGGACATATATTAATTCCAAAAAAGTCTACATCTCTGAAGCTGCTATCAAAACAAGACACCACAGTTTTAAGAACATGAAGAAATAAAGAAAATTTTTAAAAGCTGATAAATATTAGGAAGCAAAGTTCACTAAACAGTCCTATTTGTAGCACTTAACATCTTACAGGAAAGCATAAAGAAGAAAAAAATTACCTTACTTCAGCTGGTGGATTTTGTGAGTAAGGATTTGCAGAGCACGCCAAAATCCTGACTACAGCTCCAGGATGATAGGTTTCCAGAATGTGCACTGCAGTGGGATAAACTGGTTCTTCAAAAGCAAGTTCCACATAGTCCTGGCTACAGAAGGTGGATGGAGTCCTCTTGAAAGGCAGCCGAGCGCTCGGGCAGCGATCCCACCAAGTGCCGTAAGTTCGAAAGACAGCAGTCTGGGTAAAGTCACCAGAACTAGGGTACACGTTGGGAATCCCTGCTAAATTCCACATGGTATAGGACATGCTGTTCTCACTGCCATAGTGAGAGCTGAAATCCAGCACTTCTTTGGCATACTGAACTATCTCGACGTTGATGGGCAAGGCGCGGGTGTTGGATTCAATGGCCCTCCGACTGTTCATCTCTCCTCTCGTCGCTGTCCTCGCCCGGCGCCGAAGGCACATGTAGTAAAACATGCTCAGGACTGTTAACATGGGAAACACTGGTGGCATCTAGATAGGTCTTGGGAAGATGCAAAAAGTCAGGAGTCCTTTGTAAGTTGCATTAACTGCCTGTGGTGTTTTGGAAAAGAGCTGATAAAACAGAATGAATAAACACAGTGAGCAGATACAGGATTCTTAGAAAGCAAATTGTGCCGTTTTGAATATCGTCTTAAACAAAGTACTGCTACTAAAATATTAATAAATTATTGTATTTTATTGTAAGACAATTGTTTAGTTGGAAGCTACTAAGTGTGGCTTCCCATTTACTTTTTACCTTATTTGACATTCATGTTTTGTTTAAAAAAAAAAGAGACGATATGAAGAAATATCAGCCAAAACCAGCCCTCAAGCAACAAAAAAACTAATGATCAAAATAAGCATTATCTTTAGGGATTTATTACAAGAAAAGAAAATTGCAGTGACTCAGGGAAATGAATTCAAGTAAGAAATGAAATTTGGCCCATGCTGTAAACAACTGTGAAAGCATTTCTGAAGATACACCTTCCCATTGTGAAGACACAGCTTCTTAAAACCACTGTGAATGGTTTTACTTTCTTAAAAGAAGAGTAAATGGTCTTAAGAGTGAAAAGAAGGAGCTTTTGGGATGTTAATCTAAACTTAACCCACTGCTTCCTCTATCAGAGCACTAATCTGAAACAGAGCCACAAAAATACTGCTTTTACCGTTTGAAGCTGTCCATGACAGCACACAGCAACAACTGAAGGGTCATCAGCCTCCCGAAGGATGCTCAGAATTCACTAACAACATCATCTTCCTTTAAACCATGCAACAAATGAGGTCTTCAAAAGAGTCCTGGCATCAGAAGCAGAAGTCCCCATAGAAAGCATTTTAATTCTGACAAGAGAAAATATTTTCATTAAAGTAGCAATTCAGTTAAACACAAAATGTACTAGATCTGCATACTTTAAAAACCCAACACAGAATATACTCTTAATTAAGAATATCGATGTGTTTTACACAGATGACACCAACACAAGTAAAACAATCAAATAAGCAGGTTTAGCAATTGGAAAAAGCTAAATTACAGGTAAGCTACTTTAACTACTTTACTAAAGTTTTCTATTTACAACAGTGAAGAAGCATTTATAGCTGAATGCTCTCTACAGGACACAGGAGGGCTGTATCATATTCCCTACTAATAAAGATCCTCTTACATATGCTTGTCCCATATTGAGCAGCTGCTCCATACCTGCGTGATGTAAACTGTGAATTTTACCAACACACAACAAAATGTGCCGTGTATTCTCCAACTTCCACTGGCACTACCCAACACACTCAGGCTATGAGTCCACAAACTTTCTCACAAACTGGCCTTCTCATTAACTTGTCCATCAGCTTTACTAAGAGAGAATAAGGAGCAATGCCCGTAACCCGTTAGAGGCCAAGCAGGGATGACTAAGCATGTCTCAAAATAGAATAAATGTTTTCTTCAACAGCCCCTGCGGGAGTTGCCGCTCAGTTTACCACAGGATACACACTGTGGTAATCTCTGAACCAAGAAATGTGACCCCTCTACTGCAGAAGACACCTCAAGTAACAACAAACATGATGCCTCACACTGCCAGGCAGACAAACCATGTATTTAATGTTTGCAGTGGGTACAAGTGAGACCCTAATATAGCATTTTTGGGAGCATACATTTAAAGTATGGTAAATTACTAAACAAATGGAAGCTTTTTAAAGTCTCTACACAGATCTACAGTGTGGTTTTTAGGTCAGTTGCTCATTCCCATACTCACAAACACACAGAGATGTACAAACAGCTCTCTTTGGCATGAACATTTCCAGCAGGAAGGCACTTGTGGTAACAGATAAGGAGAGGCTGCACTATCTGCCCATTTGACTCATGACAGAAAGAAAGTTTACTAATGAAGTGCTCAATTCTCACTTTCTTGCTTCTACTATTTTGGCCTTTAGTTTAGTTTCACATGTTGATGTAGCTGTCAAGGACATGAATTACTCCTGATACTCAGTGCAGAAGGAAATGCATAAAACAATATGCAAGATTTACTTCAGGCTGCCCTGAAACACCAAGAACCAATAATGTCACATTTCCCACAAACAACCTAAGCCACCCTTCAGAAAAGACACTGGGAAAAAAAGTAGCACAACCCTGAACCTTTCCTCCTTAAAAGAAAGAAAAAGAAAAAAGAAACAATTCCAAACTGAAAACAGTTATTATTTTATTTTTTTCAAAGCAGAGATGCTTTGATGTAAGATGTAAGTAAAGATTACAAATACATTCTCCTTCTGGATTTTCCCCCTCTTAAAAAGAAAGACATATTTAAAGAATATGCCAACAGACATTAAACTTCAACAAATGTTCTGCTACCAAGCCCTGAAGTCATGGCTAGATCAGCATATACACCACCTTCAAACTCAAAATTTTACTGATTAAGAAAAATATGGCATTACAGATCTCAATTTTAAGAATCATTCAGCTGTGGTACTTGAAGATCAGTGGGAATCACATATCTCACATATGTAACCTACACAACCTGACATCTGCACTGCAAACTCCAGCCTTCCTCTGGCCACAGCCTGCAGTTCTTGTGGCACTGTAAAACCCAGCTGTGCTCCTTATCTTAGGCTTGTCCAAGAGCAGCAAAACCATCCAACAGTTCAGGGCTGCATGTCAGCCAGCTGGCCAGTTTAAGCCAGGCCTACGAGAAGAAATAACTGAAATCATGCTGCAGATTTTCCATTCGCAGTAATGTTAATTTGGGTCATTCTCCCTCTAGCAACTTAACAATTTCATAAAACCTTAAATATTTGAAATCCTTGACACTGACACAACTTTATCAATTTTGGCTGGCATTAGTCAACAGGTCAAAAGTAAGTAAGTAAGAACAGAAAGCTTTCATGTAAACTTACTAGTCTAAACAACAGAAGTGGAGGCAAATTAAAGAGTTAAAAACAGTATCAGATATAGCAGCTTATAACAAGAAAGACAAAACCACTGTAAAAGAAGGATTAAATAACCACTAGGACTACAATACAAATAGGAATTCTTCTTCTGGCACTTTAAAAGAAGCATTAAGAATTGTGCGGCAATTAAAAAGACAAATGAAAAATTGCTTCAGAGGTTAAAGGATAATAAGCCAGTGAAAGAATTACATTAAATACAGATCAGTAGGGCCAGATGATACAAAGAGATTTTTTTCAGGAACTACCAGAAGTCAAGCTGATTTCTAATTAACAGGATTTAACTTTGCAAAAAAAAAAAAAAAAGCAGACTCGGGTCTATGCAAAGCATCACGATAAACAGCTCTGGAGCTCATGTACATGCAAAGTTTATGTCAAAAGCTCCCCCTTCCCTCAAATTGCTTGATTATTTTAAAGAGATCCACTTAGGCCCATGCAACTATGCTTTCTGATCTCTGGCTGGGTTTTTAGCCTGTTGTATATGATTTTCTTTTTTTTTTTTTTGTACAGGTATAATTATGCTAAACTAAAGTCTAATAAAGGTTTCTTGTGTGTCTTTTTATCCTCCTCCCAAGCAGCAGCCTTCTACATCTTTTGTTTCTTTTATATTTTTAATTTCCTGTCAGTACCATTAAATGGACTGAAATAGTGCTATGAAACACCAGAACCAGTTTTCAGTCTGATGTCCCCAAACCATCTTGGTGAGTGCTGGCTTGAGGGGGGAGCAAGATTGCACAGGCCCCAAGCCAGACCAGCTCAAAGGACTCCCAATATGTTATCTCTACTTTTACAGACAGGACTCCAGAAAACCACTTTGGACTAGACCAGGAATAAAACTTTTTTAAGCAATATTTTCTTTCAAAATACATTGGAGTCCATCACATTATTTACAATATCTCCTACCCAGACTATTATTTCATTTATAACTGTTTCAATTACAAGGGCAAACTCCCTTCTTCTAACCCTTTTCTTCATGCTTTACATACAGAAAGGCTTCTAAGACTGTAATTCACTGTTTCCTTCTTCCAAGCACAGAAAACCTTGACAAAGTAAAACATCTTACAGATTCTGTACAGATCTCATGGGAAAAGGCACTAATTAAGCTAAAGCATTCAAAAGCACTAGATCTCTTCAGTCTATTTTGCCTCTTTTTACAGAGAGTTTTTGTATACAAATCCATTTTCAAGCTTTGAAGCAACCCATCCAGTTAATGACTCCTGTACTTGAAAAAACAGCATGAAGCTGAGTCAGGGCAGGTTTAGGTGGGTATGAGGAGAACGTTTTTCACTCAAAGGATGGCTGGGCACTGGAGCAGGCTCTCCAGAGAAGCAGTGACAGCACCAGTCCTGTCTGAGTTCAAGAAGCATTTGGACAATGCTGTCATGTCATTGTTGGACTGTCCTGTGCAGGGCCAGAAGTTGGACTCAATGATCCTGATGGGTCCCTTCCAACTCAGAATATTCTATGATTCTACCTGCTCATTTTTGTTAGCTTGGCAAATGCAACTCCTCAATATCCATAATTTTATCCCATACAAGCAGAAACAGTACAGAGCTATTCACCAACCAGACTGCTGAGAAAAGGTGGGATGTACACACTTGAGATTTCAAAGGGCTGTGAAATGAAGGATTTCTGTGAAAACATAACAAGTAACAGATACTAGATTTAGGAAAAAAAAAATGGCACATTTTATCCCTGAGCCATCCCTGGAAAAGCACATGATAGGAGAGTTTGTACTATTTCAAGGGAAGCAAATATTGTACATGCTAGTCATGCATACACCAGGTTTGATTTTTAAAGCCAGTGAAGTAATAATTCCTGTTTACACCAGCTTTGCTAATCTCACATTTGGGAGCAGTGAGCAATTCTCCTTCATCTGACTATAAAAGAAACAGCAACATTGACAAATTTCAAAGAATGTATAAATGACAAAAACAAGGGCTCATATGATCTCTGAAGAAAGATTAACGCAATTTAATATGTGTGTCTTAGATAAAAGACAGTAAATGGGAAATCTCTTAATTATCTTTGTACACTAATGCACAGAGGGAATACTGGATCCTTACATTACAGTCTAAAACAGAGTACATTTACCACAGGTTAGCATCTCTTGCTGTTAATTACCAAGATTATACCAACATCTACACTCAACTTGTAGAAACTAGAAGCTATTCTTAATTAAAAATTAATAACCTATTATAGTAGACTTTAAACTCAAGCCCCATTTGCTGCATTTCTTCCCATAATACATTCTGGCACTAAAATAAGCCACTTCACACACACTTCTAACTAATAATTCTACTGTTTGAAAAAAATTGCAATATACTGCAATTTTATCTATCTAAAATCTTACATTGTCTTCATGAGCACCAAAACAGGCAAAATCCAAGAATTTCTGGTTACTTCAGTGACTGCATTCCTGCTAGGTCCAGACTCATTATGTGGTTCAGCACAGAGATACAATGGAGACAGAACTTCCTTTGGCACCTTTTACACATACAAAGTGTCTTATGGAGGCGGCTTTCTCAGACAACAGAAATTGTTTCTCAACATGACTAAATCATCATGTAGCCCTTTCTATTGACAGTTTAAAGTTACCAGCATTATGCCACTTCATTCTCACCAACAACCCTTCCAGTGGTGAAACTCTTCCCTTCATGTAAAAAAAAGAAAAAAAATTAAATTCCCCACACTACTTTTAAAAATAAATTTGTGTGCACTTGTCTTATTTGCCTTTTCACTTTTCTCTTGAGATATCATACGGCCTCTCCATGCAGGCGCACTCTGTACAGCATTTACTTGTTGGTCAGCTGCCTCCTCACTGCACGGATTGCAGGTATTAGGCCATGCAGTTGGTACCTCCCACTGTCACAGAATTAATGAATCAATTGGGTTGGAAAAGGCCTCTGAGATCAACAAGTTCAACCTGTGACCTAAAAGCACCGTGCCACCCAGACCATTGCATTAAGTGCCATGTTTCCTTAAACAGCTCCAAGGACAGTGACTCCACCACCTCCCTGGGCAGCCCATTCCAGTGTCTAGCCACCTCTTTGGTGGACAAATTCCTCCTCATGGCAAACTTAAATCTCTCCTGGCACAGCTTAAGTCTCTCGTCCTAATCATGTCCGTTCACATCCAACTGATGTCCATTTGTCAGCCTGCACTGGTAGCAAATAACAATCCACAAGAAGTGAAGCACCCCAAAGTACACACCTAAAAAATGAAATAAAATAGTATCGCTCCTATCCTGAAGTTCAGCTCCTATCCTGCTTTCTGTCGTGTTGTGAAGCCGTGTAAGTGTGGAACACCGCAGGGACCGAGCAGCGGCGGCGGACCCGCAGGGGAGAGGAGCACAGCCCGTGCCAGCCCTGCCCGCTTTGTCTGATCCCGGCACTGCTCCTCCCGTCCTCCCAGCTCCATCCCATCCCTACCCCTTCCCACTCCTGGGGTGCCCGCGCTCCCTTCCCCGGGGGAACAGCTCCTTTCCCCGGGGCGCAGCTCCCGCCGAGGCCTAGGGACAGCGCCGGGCAGGTGCGGGCGGGACTGCCCGGTGCCGCCTCTGCCTTCCGCGTCCCCTCCCCGACAGCAGCACCGGCCCGGCCCGGCCCGGTCCCGGCAGCCGGCCCTGGGCGGGAGGACGGGGAGCGCACACCCGCGGCCGCCCGCCCCCGCCGCGCAGGGCCGGCCCCGCACCGGGGCTGCTGCAGGGCCCGGCGCTGCGGCCCCCCCGCGCCCGCCCGGCAGCAGCACCGCCGCCACCGCCGCCACCCTACCCCGTCCGGAGGGCGGAGCTGCCCGGGCCGCCGGAGCCGCCGCCGCGCCGGGCGCCGCCGGAAGCAGCGCGCACGGAGGGCGGCGGGGGCGGGAACCGGGGGAAGCGGCGCGGCGGGGGCGGGGCCGGCGGCTGCGCTTGCCCGAGCCCCGGCGTGGGGCGGGCCCGTGCGGGCAGCGGCGGGTAGGGTTTGCTGTGGGATAGGGGAGTGCTGGAATTGCAAGGGTTGGAAGGGCCGTTAAAGATCATCTAGCCCCAGCCCCACTGCCATGCGCAGGGACCCCAAGCACTAGAACAGGTTGCTCAAAGCTCCATCCAGCCTGGCTTTGAGCAGTGCCAGGGATGGGGCATCCACGGCTTTTCTGAACAACCTGTTCCAGTGTCTCACCGTTCTCACAGTTAAGAATTTGTTCTTGTTGTCTAACATAAATTTCCCCTCTTTCAGTTTGTACCCATTACTCCTTCTCCTACCACAACAAGGACAGGTGCAGAGTCCCAGCAGCTTCCCTGTCAGCCCCTTCAGACACTGGAAGGTTGCCATGAGGTCTCCACAAAACCATCTGTTCTCCAGACTGAACAGCCCCAACTTGCTCAGCAATTATAGGGGAGATGCTCTAGTCTGGACTTGCTTCAAAACTTTCCTGCCGTCCTTACGCTGGGCACACCATAATGGTACACAGTACTACAGGTGGGATCTCACCAGAGCAGAGTAGAGGCGGAAAATCACCTCCCTGACCCTGCTGGCCACACTGCTTTTGATGCAGCCCAGGACTCATTGGTTTTCTGGACTATGAGTGCACACTGCTGACTCATGTTGAGTTTTTCATCAGCCATCACACCTAAGTCTTTCTCCACACTGTGGCTCTCAGTCACTTCTCCACCCAACATGTAGGTGTGTCAGGGATTGCCACAATCCTGGTGCAGGACTTCACACTTTGCTTTGTTGAACTTCATGAGATTCACACCAGCCCACCTCTCAAGTGTGTCAGGGTCCTTCTGGAGGGCATCCCTTCCCTCCAGGCTGTTGAATTATTGGATGTTGTGCTTTGTGACTCAGGCCCACTCTGCTTTGTGCCTTGTTACCTCTGCAGACATGAAGGCCATGGTGAGGTGGGTGCTGTGAGCCACCCTCTCAGGATGAGCCCCGGCTTGGTTTCTTACAGAAAACCAGGCAGTGTGTCTTGCCCTAGCCCCAGTCCAGCTGGGTTGTGCTTTCAATGTCGTGTTTGAGTTCCTAGCATGCCATAAGGGCAGCCCTGTTTTTAATTTATCTTAGCAAGTACTTACTCCAGAACACTGTGGTGCCTCTTGGGTTGCTACCTGGTGTATTGCAAAAGAAATGTCATATAATTTAATTTGGTGCACGAGTGCTTTCTCTCCCAACCACCCCTTCCAGTCAGAGCTTCTGCAATAATCACTAAAATTGCTGTTACCCCATCTGGTCTCCTCAAGTTTCCATCAAGGCTCCATGTTAGATGGTACCTGGGATTGTTCGGATGCAGTAGAAAATAGAGTTGCTGACTTTTACTAGGTGGTCGAACATAATTCTAAAAATCCAGAAAATATGCAAATAGTTGCTGTGTAAGGTGCTTATTGTATAATGCTTTAATATAAATTCTATGCATTTATAATAAATTTCAAATATAGAAATCTATAAGTTTAGTATAGAATGCATTTTGGTTGCTAACTGCAGTGGCAGACAAGCCACCACACAACCCTGATTTCCACAAGGGACATGCCAGGATGACCAGCTTCCAGGTGATTTGTAGACCTGCAGACATGTGTGTGCACACATACAGAAATGCACATATACACACTTGTTTTATGTGCCTCAGACACCACTGTACTGTTTCAAAATAATAATTCAAGCCCCAAATTTTAAGGCACTGCTTCCATGGAAGAGGAAGCTAGACCCTTCAGGTTTCAGTGACAATAATGTAGAGTGCCTTTTGGCATCATTTATCCTCACCTCCATCCTACAGTCAGATGCAAGCTACAAGAGTGTTTATAAAGGTGCTTTCAATAAACACCTTCCCAGGGAGTGTCCAACTCAAAGTTTGAAAAAATAAAGTTGGAAACAAGAATTTGAATAAGTTTGGTGAGTCAGAAAGTAGGTTAGGCATGAAAATAAATTTTTGTAGTTTATTTTATTTATATTATTGCTTTCATTTTAGGTTTTGTACCTCTCATGCTATCCTTCCTTTTCAAATTAAGTGAAGAGGAAATACTTGGAACACACCATTTATCTAACCCATTTAATTGGTTAATTTAACAAATTATCTAACCCCTTCTATTAGCATTCAGTCGCCTAAGAAGAGGAACGTAAAAGTTTCTATTTCTGTCTATTGTCAGCTGTAAAGAGAAAGCAGGCAAGAGACATCTGTACAGAGGTCTGTGTTGGGCCAAATTGTTCCTATCCTTTGTTTTTATGTTGTGTGGAGGTTGAATTCTGTATCAGTGCAAAACCTAGATGGATATGAAAAATTTTTCTCTCAGTCCACTCATCTGCCAGCTCACAGAGGCTGGAACAGATTGCTCTTAAATTTTACATTGTCAAAGTTCTGTGTTTGGTCTGGTCTGCTGGGCTTATTTTATAAATCACAGGGAGACATGGATACCTCCAGGTGATCCAACATATCCCCTTCTCTCCTGTGAAAGGTGCCTAAGGGACATGGAAGTTGTCACTGTTTGGAGGTACATTTCTCTCCACTTCACATAGACCATCCTCAAGCTTTCAGACAGAAAATGTGTGAACACATCCTTAACAAGCTAGAGAAATTACAACACCAACTCCATCATTATTCACAGAGGCTGCCCAATGGCATGTAGCATTTTAAAACTGCAGAAAGACTAGTATGTATTGAAAGGGATAGAGGACATTGGGTGACAGTGTCCTTTTTGTCTAGGCTGCTGTCTCAAAGTCATGCCATGTGCATTCAAGATGTGCTCCAAATTACTGTCAAATTGTCATTCCACAGCCTTTGCAAAAATCAATTGATGATCTGTTTTTATTCAACAGTTGTCCACATCTGGAGCTGACAGATAATTTCCAGTGAGCTATGGCACATGAAAACTTTATATATATTTCTATATCCACATCAGCAGTAAAACTAGGCATAGAATACATCCCAGAAATAGTCCACTGTTGAATGGGAATACACTGGTAAAGCAGTACAGGAAACCTTCTGTTTGTAACATAAGAGTGAGACTTGGCTTCTCTGTGTTAATCAAACTTTGTAATCACCAAATTCATGTTTTAACAGCATCCTGTTTCTTCTTCAGGATTTTCTCATTATTATAACCAGTGGTATGTCTTGCTCATGAGGGGAAATCTTAACTGAAGTCAGTAGGAATACTGTTATTTCAAAAATAGCCATAGAGCATAGAAAGGCCATGTAAGTGGCATGGATAAAAAGTTATGTCTGTATGTGTACCAAAGGTACATAAAGGAGTGATATGACTGGTGACATTTTATGACTTTTGGCTCCCAAGACAAGTGACTAGGCCTTGATTCCACTTCAACTCATCCCAAGGCACCATTGTGATAACCGATTAAAATGTCCAGAGAGAAACTTTCCACAGGAGGAGGTAAAGATACCACACACCAGCTATTGGTCTTTGGAGGTCAAAGACTCATTTACATTCTACACTCACAAAAGGTGTCCAGATCCACTTTTCCAGGAAAAGCAGTTGTTGGAAAAGCACATGTAGCAGAGGGATTTATAGTGAGAACAAAGAATCTGCTGATGGAGCAGTGAAGCTTACCTGAGCCTTGTGCAAACACTTAGAAGACAACTCCCAGTGGATACAGGGTAACACTTTAGTTAAGTTTGCAAACAAGGGAGGTCTGTTTTGCTGCTTCTAACATATTTATTGAGAAAACGTTTTGTAAGTAAACAATTCATGCAGGAAACTAGCTGACTTTGAAGTCAGCAGGTCCTGCTCCCAGCAGGGAACTGATCTGAATTTTGTTATCACTTTGCAAAGCTTTGTATATTAAAGTGTTAAACTGAACCCTAAAAATAATGAAATCATTTTAATCAGTGAGTTATTTTTAATACAACAGACTTAGCCAAGTGCTAACTGCAAAGCAGCACTGAATGCGTATGCATAACACCATTGCCACTGGTGTGAATTGTTCTTTCTGGCTTCCTCTGCATCCCAGGATATTAACCCAGCATGGGAAACATCTCACTGCCTTTTGGACCAGCATTACTGCTTTTTGATATGTGAAATTACATATATTCTTTGAAATGGAAGAGAAAGTATACTAAGTCAATGAGACTGAGTAAGTTCGTAGGTGTTCCCATGAGCCAGGCCTAACAATTCTTTGGCTGATATGGTAGCTGGAACTCTTTTTTCAAAAGGAAATTTTTTATTCCCTGTGGGGTTTTTTCCCATGTAACAATATTTTGTGTAGCATTCTCTCTTTCTCTGCTATATTCTATGAAAATGCTGTATTGTGTAGTTGATCATATTTACTGCATTTTATCTTTATTTTCTTGTATTTTATCAAAAGATAAAAGAGAATATGCCACAGTACAAGAATGTGCTTAAATTTTACATGCTATTAAACAACTGCTGTGTTTGATTTGTGTCTCTGCTGCTTGTTACTAGTTCTTGGTAGATCACATTGAATTTAGGTTATAGATTTATTGAGCAAGGGTGATGTCTTGCTTTGTCTCCCATAAAGTCCCAGTATACATGATTTTATATATTTATATATTATATGACAGTAACTGATTCAGCATTTGAATGGTTAACCACTGCCCTTGCTGTGT